AAATGAAAATGCTGTGAATCAGCAAAATTTCTGCCTCTCTTCTTTTTTTTTTGGCATAAACCCCTCCAAGCCATGAAGTGAGAAAACAGCCCTTACCTGCCGCGTCTCGTATTTAAAGAGAGGTCAGCAGCAACCAAACAGCACAAGCTCCTGAGCGCTCGCAGAGAGCCGACGCAGGATCGGGGCAGATGGGCGCGCTGAGGAACCGGAACACTGACTTGACAGCCGGTATCCCAACAATTTACTGAAGATCATTTCGTAGCTGAGGGGGATTATTTCTCCCAGCTTTTTAAAATAGCTGTTACTGCCCCGAGATTCGTCTTTTCCAGTTAACTTTCTGTCTGCTTGCAGAAGCTTAGCAGCACTGAGGGAGGTCACTGCCCCCACTAGCACCACTGAGCTGCTGCTAAACATTTAACCGGGGATGGAAGAATCTTTATAACACCCCTTCCAAGTATTTGGCAACAGAGAAGGAAGCTGGGGGCACTCCGCTCCCTCGTTTCCCTCTCTTGCCTTTTTAGTTTGGTGCAGTGACTGGACAGGGCTCAGCAAAACTCAACCCCCATTTACTGCGCCAGCTCTTGCTCAGAAAAACTTATTTGGCCCCAGATTTTCACTGCCAAATCTTCGCTTGCTCCTGTTTCAGAGGATGAGCTTTCGCAGCTCGGCTACGTAACTCCCTACGTCTGTTAACAGAGAGACCACCGCTTGGCCGCACGCTGCTGAAATTGGGTCTCGTCTACTTGCAAGCGAACAGAAAAGCTTTACAACCAACCTCATCCAACTGGCCCTGCACCGAGCGGGGCACTGGGCTAAAAAGATCCCTTCCAACCAAGATTATTCTCTGGACAGAGAGGAACAGCTTAAGCATCGAAGCAGGAACAGGATGCAGGTTTAGACCAGCGAATACATCAATCCAAACTTGCCTCTTCTTGCTGCTCGAACACTTAAGCTGCGTCTCTCGGTTGGCCGTAAAGCTTTTCCATTCATTTTTAACCTAAGACCCACAGAAGCTGCTGCCGTCAGAGGATTAAGGTTGGGAAGCAGCTGGGCGGCCAGCTGCTCCTCGGCGGAGTAGCCATCCCTATAGGAGTTTCAGGCCCAAGATCACGGGCACGATGGAAAGGGCTAAAGGAAAAACACAGCCTGCAGAAAAGGTGCCGTGGCTCCGGAGACGGAGAGCCACAAACCCGACTGACCACTGCAAGAGGAAGAAATCCATGCACGAGACCAGAAGAAAGATTGATAGGTCCTCCCATCACCCAGGAACTTGGTTCCTGGAGGAAAAAAAAACAACACACATCGGAGTGGCGTGAGACCAACCCGACAGCAGCCGTGCTACACCACTGCCACCCCGCCGGAGGATGAACGATGCCTCGGAAGACGGGGACTCAAAAATACCGCGGGGTTCTAAGACGTTACACCAGAGGTAACGAATAACCGACCGCCTCATCCAGAGAGGCGCCACCAAAAATCACACTACCTTTGCCACGTTGACTGGGTAATTAATTAATTGATAGCCTCTTGAGGAAGGATTGACATTTGCATAGCTCTTAAAACCCCTGTGTTAAGCCAAGGCCTAGCTGCCCCACCTTCCTGAGAGCGCCCTCAACGTAACCTGGGTCGCGGCCACCATCAGCAATGGCAGCAAGTTGCACCATGGGGGTAGCAGCAACAGAGGAAGCCATCGGCCACGGCAGCCTCCTGGCACCGCGCTCTGAGCTGGCATCAGGCCGTTAGTGCAAACACCGCACCCCGGCGAGCTCTGCTTGACGCTACTGCCCCTTAAAACAGCTTCCCGAGCCGTTATTCAAGCTGCGTACTGCCTGTCGCGGCGTTAATCGCAGAGGAACATCAACATTAAATGCCTTTCAACGAGGTTTCTCTTGCGCTGCTCTCCAAGCACAGAAAGCTGAGGGGCCGCACGGGCTATTTGAGGGCGCTCTCAGGAAGGCGGGGCGGCTAGGCATTGGTTTAACCCAGGGGGTTGAAGAGCTATGCAAACGTCTGTCCTTCCTCCAGCTGCTGTCAGTCAGTTAGGTACCAGGCTCAAACAGCCACGATGGAAGTAACAAAAAGGAAGACGCTCACTTTCTGCCTCCAAGATTTCCCCAAACAAATTATAAGTCTTTAAAGTGAAATCCCAACTGTGATTATTAAGCTTCATTGCCATGTTAGGAAGATTAAGATTTCATTTCTATGAATTATTTTAGATTTAGGCTCAATTTAGAGGCATCATTTGCAGATTAAACAGATGCAAAGCGGGTTTAATCTCTTAAAATACACAGCCGGGAATTTCTACGGGGCAGACCGAAAAATGAACGCAGAAAACCCAGGGTCCCCCCCGGCTGCGGCGGTGTTGGTGGGGGCAGAAGAAGAGGGAGTGCTGGGGACAGGAGCCGGGGCTCTACAGTTTGCACCGAGCGACCTTCAGTCCAGCC